GTGGAGTCCCCCCCACCCTCCCCCGTGGAGTCCCCGCCACCCCCTACGTCCCAGTCTCCACCGCCACCCACTACTGCGAGTGGCGCGAGCCAGTACATCCTCCCTGGCTCTGCCACCTACACCGGTGACGGCACGGCCTACTCCGCTGCCATCGCCTCCGACGGTGGCATCGCCTTTGCCTGCTCCTACCGCTACCTCAACTCCTACTTCACCCAGTACTTTGCCGGTGAGTGGCGGCTGCCTGCCTGAGCTGCCTGCCTGAGGCCTGCAGGTTGCTTCCCAATCCTGACTCCCTCATCCAACGCACCCCTCCCTCCCTCCCCAATGCGCAGCCATGAACTCTGCCCAGTGGAACTCGGGCGCCGCCTGCGGTCAGTGCGTGGTGGCCCGCTGCGTCGACCCTGCCTGCGTCACCCAGAACTTTGACGTCCTGGTCCAGATCGTGGACGAGTGTCCCGAGTGCGCGGAGGGCGCGCTGGACTTCTCCTACCCAGCCTACCAGGCCGTCACTGGCGTGCCCCCCAACCGGCTCACGGTGTCCTGGGAGTACGCGGACTGCTCTTCCTTCATCTCCGGCGGCATCCAGTACAACCCCAAGGAGGGCTCCAACGGCTTCTGGCAGGCCTTCTACCTGGACAACTACAGCTACACCCTCGCCTCCGTGTCCTGGGGGGGCGTAACCCTGACCAGGTCCCAATTCCAGTTCTTCCAGAGGTCGGGGCCCATGCCCACAGGGCCCTTCCAGCTCACCATCACGTCCACCACTGGGCAGACGGTAAGCCCCGGGTAACAAGGGAGGCCCGCGTGTGGGGTCCGCCTGCCCCTGTCGGTGCATGCGCAGCGCCGTGTGCGGTCCGGTGCCCCCGGTCCCAGCCATGCACCACACTCACCCCTGGCTCCCTGCCCCGTCCCGCAGATCACTGCCACCGTGAACGACTTCAACACCCCCCAGGACCTGGGCGTTAATTTTTCATAGAGTGCGCCTCGCCGCGGGAGCAAAGATGTACCATCACCACCCTGCGGATCCTTTGCCTCCCAGCTCCCACCCTGACCAAGACTGCCCCACACCATTCCTGGGGGGCACACACCACCCGACTCCACAGCTGCAGGACTGGTACAAATAATTTATGCGCTTGCCTCCCCATTACTGACCGCAGCGATCATCGTCCCAACCTGACTGCCCGCATACATTCATCGCTCACTGGATACTCTTTGCGCTCTTCTATCTATGTGCCTGCTAACTACTCCTATTCATCATTGAGGTTGTGCTGCAATACGCAATATGAGAATGCGCCAGAAGAGACGGGACTGGCAATGGTTTGGTGTGAGTCACCGCTGCGACCGGAGGTACATCATGGCGCGTGAAGATCCCTGCATGGCGCACATCCCCTCCCGGCGGCTGAAACTCGGGTGGCTCGACACATCCACGAGCGCAAAATACTTTGAACATATTGATTACTCTCCACGCGGGCCCTTGGAACGTTGCCCTGGCCGTGGACCATGCGCGTGGACTTGCCACCAAGGGTCGTACGGAGCCTTGGACGAGTCCAAGACACCTACGTGGGTCGACCGGTCGAGACGGCCAAGGCACTGGCCTTCTTGAGAGGCATGTTCCTCTCACAAGGAACGTGAATACTGCCTGTCATGGATACTCAAGATGGAAGTGCACCGAGCAGCAGCGCAGGCGAGGATGAGACGGCATGCTGGATCTGCCATGAGCCCGACCTGCCGACCAGACCCCTCACCCGGCCATGCCGATGCATGCCGGCCCACCGTACATGCCTGGCCCGCTGGCAGCTCCAGTCCGCAGGGAAGGCCGAGGAAAAGGTAAGCGCATACGGTCGACAGGTTGGCGGGCCACCTGTAAGCAGCATGGGGTGGTTTCGGGGGGCAGTGCCTTCATGTCGGAGGTCAGGGCTTTGCGGGGAAGGGCAGCGCCCGAGCGCGTTTCCACCCCTCCAAATCACTCCCAATAGTATGCGCCCCGCTACAGATGTGCCGGTTCTGCGGTGCAGACCTGCCAGACTGGAGAGGTTGCTGGTCCACCCTTCCCAAGGCCGACCCCGTCATGACGGTGGCCCACGATGGCCAGACCCACCAGGTGGTGGTGCGGCCGGGGCTGGAGGGCCGGGCGGCCTTCGAGCGCACCATCCGAGAGATTTTTGGTCTCTCAGAGAACGACACCGTCTCCCTCACCTTTGGCTGCGCCCTGCCCCAAGGAGTGGACACTGGAGCGGCAGGCATGTGCTGGTGGCCGGGGCTGTGATTGATAAATTCAGTAGTTCTAATGTATTTGTATGTTTAGTTATTTCCACTGTTCAGCGTGTTCTCATTTATGCTGGTGGAGACGGTCAGCGCCTCAATCCTACGGTGTAAGCCCCAGGAGGTGTTCCTGCATGACAACCTCACGGTGTTTGTCACCCCACAACCCTCCTCAGGAAGCGACGTGACCCTGTCAGGATGGGAGTCCTTTGACGCGGCGGTGTTCTGTGCCTCCCTGTCTGCCGGGCAGCGACAGATGCGCAAGGCGGCGGCCATGGCCGCCGCGGACCCTGCCCCCGTCGTCGGCGGGGCACCGGCCAGCGCTCCTCTGCGCCGGCCGGCCGCCTCGGGACTGCGCAGGGCCCTGGGGCGGTGCTGCGACGCCATCCTGGGCTAGGACAGGCTGCCTGAGTCCTTCCAGATTGCAAGAATCCTCCCAGCAGCGGGCCGCAGGAGCGCAGGTAGCCGCAGGCGGCGCCCCGCGAGGCAGCGTGCTCCGTAGGTGCATCACCTCGTGTGTTCACTCCCCATCTCTGGCAGCATAGCTGCGATGTGCCTTCTCGTAGGATCACTTCCACTGCCCTGGCACGGGGCAGGTCCCAGTGGACAGCGGAATACTGAGGAACTGCGCCACCCATGCCCCTGAAACCTCCCTTCCTTTGCCAATCTGCGAACCCCCTGCTTGGCCGCCGCGCATTGCCGTGACCCTGCAGTCAGACCCCAGCCCTGAGCCCCATGGCCATGCCTGACCCTGTGCCGTCGAGTGTACAAGCGGCCGGCAACCCCGCAGCAGAGATTCCCTCCCCACCAGCGTCAGGCCGACGCCACATCGTGGCGCTCAATTGGCGATGCGGAGGCCGAACTTGGAGACGGGTCCGCCGTGCTGGCCCCGCCGGTCCGACAGCCCTGACCCAGGGCCCAGGTGGAAGAACTTCTTGGCCTGCGCCTGCTTGTCGTGCTCCGCGAAGCCGGTGCCGCCGCGCTGCAGCTCGATGGCGTCTTCGGGCCCCAGCGGTACGCCGCGGTACGACCCCTCCGGCAGGATGCAGGTACGCCACGTCTCCTCGCTCACCACGTCGCCTGGATGGGGACAGGGGGGAGGGCACGCGCGTGTGTGTGTGGGAGGGGGAACGAAGGCGAGGGGGGTTGAGGAACCGTTTGCTCCGAGGAGATGGTGAGGGCGGGCCCGTCGAGTGCATACAGACATGGTGCAGGCACAGGCGCACCCCTGGCTGCACTGAATGATGTGCATTTCGTTCGCCAGCAATCCTGAAGAGCATGACTCGGCCAGGGGTACCGAGTGCTTGTACGGCCTCTAAACCCAAACGCGCACCCAGCTGCCCCACTGTCAACCTCACAGAGGCACCCCAGCGGCCCGCGCCGTGCCACGGCGATGGCCCCCTCCGTCGACAGCGTGAGCAGCTCGACGCTTGCACCTACCTGTGGGCTTGATGACCATGAGGCGCGTGGCGTTGGTGAAGGGATCGCGCGAGACGGGGTCCATGAACTCCTGCGCCGCGCCGTCGGGCAGCGGGGTCAGCGCCACGCTCGTCAGGTCCCGCAGGCGCAGCGGCTTGCCCGAGGCTGGGCAGCGCGTGACGCCGTCGGGCGCCTCCAGGTTGGCCGCCGCCTCAGGCGTCTTGCTGGGCAGCCAGAAGGCGCGCATCTCCGCCATGCGCTCGCCGTGCGCGCGGATGTTGACCGCGCCGCTGGCCACGCGCTTGTCCGCCAGCAGCGCGTCGGCCTCTGCGGCGATGCTGGCCGTCAGGCGCGCGGCGGCGCCGGCGCTGGCGCCCGCGTGGTTCTGGCGGTCAAAGGCCAGGACCGCGGCCTCCGCCTCGATCGCCGCCTTCTCCTCGGCCTGTGTATGGAAGGTGGGGTGGGCATTTGGAGTGGGGTTGTGTGATCAGGCCAGGTGGGTGGGTCTTGCGGGGGATAGTTGGAGTCGTGGGTCCAGGTGAGAATAAAAAATGCTGGGTTGGGTCCTGCGGAGGCAAAGGGTGGTGTCGGAGGCATGCTTGCGCCCCAGCCCATACCGCACCCTACGGGCATCAAAATCCAAGCCCAGCCGCTCCCGTGTCCAGGGAGCTAACCCCTCCCGATCACCCCATACCTTGCGCTGACGTTCCGCCTGCTGCGCCTTCCAGGCCGCCAGCTTGCGCTTGTTCGCCTTCTTCTGGGCCAGCAGGTTCTCCAGGATGGCCTCCCTGCTGAAAAGGAACCCGTCTGGCGTGCACACCGGATCCTGGAAGAAGTGGCGGATGAGATAGGCACGGGGAGGGGTTGTGAGGGGAGGTCAAGGGGCGTACAGGAGCAGGCAGCGGTGGACGACTAGGAGGGGTATCGGCCAGGCCCGGTGACGCCACCTGCCAAGGCACGCACCACGGCGGGACGTAGAGTCAGGCGGCAGTCATAGTAATTGCCGATGGAGTCCTGGAGGGAGGTTTGAATGGGCTGAAGGTCACATGAGGAGTGTTAGGTCGGGCGTGTATCCAACGCCTAGAACCGGCCTCCTGCTCACACCTTGCCCAGACGCTCCGACACAGTCCCAAATCCGAGCGCTTTGCGTTCGTGGTATGTCAGGGACTCGGCGCCCATAACGCCCGCATTCTTGCTGTGTTTCCCCATCTCTTGGGGGGGTTGCGGGTAGTGGAAGGGCGTGCTAGCTTACCAAAGTCCCCGACTGCGAAATTAAGGCCTTTAGTCAAACACCCGGTCTCGTCACGTTAGGAAAATGAGTTTCGGTGCGCTCGCAACGATGTAGGGGTGGGGCGCGCTCGTCCCACCCAACCCCTCGACAGGGCGCGCAGATCATGGGGCACCTCAAGTGTAGGCGTATACTCAACCTACTCGATCTCACGCAATCCTGAGTTAAACATCAATGCTATAAGACTGTATTGCATTCAAACATTGACGTCTCCCTCGTGGTTCAGTTGGCCTGGTCATGGCTCAAGTTAAGCTCGGAGTCGTCCTACGGTACGCGAGGGGTGCAGGCCAATGCAGGGCCGCCGCTACCAACCACAGACCACGCTGCAATCTCTGACATGCTCACGCTGCTCACAGGGCCATGGCCGCTGGCGCACTGGCATTGGGCTCCAAGTCTGCAGCCGTGGCCAAGGGCGCAGGGGGCGTCAAGACCCTCCTCGGCCTGACAGCGGCTGGTGGGTTACCCAAGGAGTGGATCATGCAGCATCATAGAACGTGGTATTGCATGGCATATGATGAAAGGGGAAGCAAGCGCAATTGTTTTGACCGATTTTCTGTGATCTGCGGCATGGTGTTCAGCATGTATTGGTAAGGCATTGCTTGTGTCGATCCGCGTCTGCAGGTGGAGCAGTTGCAGCAGTGACCACCACGGCCGCAGGCGACCAAGAGGCTCGGGTGGCTGCGGCACAACCCAGGATACCCAGCCATGCCCCGCCTCCTCCCAGGCGGGCTTGATGTTCTCTTCAATGGAATTTTTGCCACCTGCAGTTGCCGTGAATATTCCTTCGTCTTCCCAGAGTCATGCAGATAGCCCTTCATGGTGGCGCTGGAGGCACTCTTGACCTATGTGGACGCATTATTGTTGGGAATGACGCCCCTGCTCTCCATGCTGTGACCACGGACTGTCTCAAAGACGACAGACCCCACACCCGCGATCCTGCCGTTGATCAACCAGGCTGGACACTTGGTGAAGCGTCAAAATTTGTCTTGCTTACTTCAAGCAAAGGCAGGGGGCTTTTGGCGTGGTCGTGCTTGTATCTGCCTGCTTGCTACCCGAGCGAGACCCACACTGGGTGGGGACAGGGCCTTCGCACCCGCGTTTGGGACGTCCCCATGGCGAATGGGGCACTTGTAGCGACGGCTTGATTGTACCACCACTTCTGGCACGGCCCTGCCTCCTCATGGACCTGCTCGCGATCGCTCGCTACTACGTCGACAGGATGTTGACGGAGGTGTCCGGCATGAAGGCCCTGCTGCTGGACGCCGAGACCACCCAGTCCATCAGCGGGGTGTACAGCCAGACTGACATCATGAACCAGGAGGTGTACCTGGTGGAGAAGCTGGAGGCCAACAAGACGGACAAGCTGCCCCACCTCAAAGTGTGTGTGTTTGTTTTTTGGGGGGGGGGCAAGTGGTGCCAGAGTGCTACCCTGCACCCTGCCTTGGCTGGGTGCCGGAAAGGATGCTTGGACATGTGATCATCGCACCCCTCACTGCTGCACACGTTGACGCATGCGCAGGCGGTGTGCTTCCTGCGCCCCACCCGCGAGAACATTGCTCGGCTGCGGCGCGAGCTCCGCGATCCCCGCTTCGGAGGCTACCACCTCTGTGAGTGGGGGGAGTCTGCATGTTTTCTTGGTCTCCACGGTGGATGGATGGGAGGGCCGGTGTGGGCAAGTGGCACAAGAGCCCACAGCCCTTCTGCCCGACCTCCCCAGCCGTCCAGCCCCCGCCTGGCCTCCCTCCCAGTGCCCCCCTCCCGCCAGACCCTGGGGACGTCAACACCCTGCGTTGCACCCCCCCGACGGCATTCCAGACACCGCTTACCCCTGAACCCCTCCCTTTCTCCCAGTCTTCACCAACCGTGCCGAGGACCTGCGGCTGCAGGACCTGGCCGAGCTAGACACCAAGGAGGCGGTGCTGTCGGTGCAGGAGTACTTCACCGACTTCGTCGCGCTGGCCGGCCACCACTTTGCCGTCCCCCTGGCGAGGCCCCACGTCGTGCTGGAGCCCTGCGAGTGGGAGTACGGCGCCAGCAGCGAGGCCATCGCGCGCATGACGGACGGCCTGGCCGCGCTGGCGCTGTCGCTGCGGCGCCACCTGTCCATCCGGTACCAGGCCGGGTCGGAGGTGGCGGAGCGCCTGGGCGCCAGCCTGCGGCACCTGGTGGAGCACGAGGAGCGCGAGCTGTTCGGCTTCGGGGTGCGGGGCGGCGACGGCGCGCCCGTCCTGCTGTTGCTGGACAGGAGGGACGACCCGGTGACCCCGCTGCTCTCCCAGGTAAGGGGAGAGGAGGAGGGGCGGGTGGTGAGAGCATGCCTCTGTGGGGTCGCGGGGGTGTCCCCTGCGGATGGCGGGGAAGGCCCACCGCTGTGCCAGCCCATTGGAGGGCCAGCCCAGGGGTGCCTGCCCTGCCACTGGCCATCGACCCTTGGGGCACCTGTCCCACACCTCCCTCTGCCCCCCTCTCCCAGGTAAGGGGAGAGGAGGAGGGGCGGGTGGTGAGAGCATGCCTCTGTGGGGTCGCGGGGGTGTCCCCTGCGGATGGCGGGGAAGGCCCACCGCTGTGCCAGCCCATTGGAGGGCCAGCCCAGGGGTGCCTGCCCTGCCACTGGCCATCGACCCTTGGGGCACCTGTCCCACACCTCCCTCTGCCCCCCCTCCCCC